TGTAAACTATCCTTTTGCTGGGCAAGAGATTGCGACTCCCTGAAAGAATCATGATGACTGTACATGGACAAGAGGCCCCTCCTAAAAAGACCCATTTCCGCTACAACAAGGTGGATGTTTGGACGGAGTTTCAGTGTTTTTCGTATTTGCAAGGAACGTTTTCCGCTGTCCTGGGTCCGCGCGCGAGCGCCCTCCTCTACGGTAGAGTGTGCGCCAACAAGGCGCGCCCGCGCGCGGACCCAGGGTGTTACTGCAAGGAGTCGCCAACCGGACAGAGTTGACAAAATCGCTTTCATGCAACTTCTGAAGTTTTCACTCCTAATTCTTGGCTGCTTTGCACCCTTGTTATACCGCAGCCGTGCCGCTCGTGACAAAATAACGCTGGCTTTCGTTTTGCAGCTTCTCAGGTTTGCGTGTAGCCAATGCGCCAGGATTGGTCCAATTCGAGAGGTCCCGCAACCAATGTAACTGTGAGTCGAAAAAACGATAGAGCCTTGAGCCTTGCAATGTCTGTTATACCATATGAAAGAGGGTCATCCGCTTTTGCGCAACAGATCTGCAACAGATCTGCACGCATTGCCCTATGGGCGGGTATGGTAGGGAAGATGAACATTAGGTGTGCCCGTGTGCAATGTACACGAAATAGCACGTACGCTATGGCAGATCACGAGCCATGTGCACCTAAACATACGAGAAACTATGTGCATGAACAACAGAACCTAATGACGAAGCATTTGTATGCATTGGTAGGCATATTTATTTACAGCATATTCCGTGCGAAGGCGGGATAGCTATTTAAAAAGAACAGCTGACAGAGGCCATTTGGCGGACTTTCTCACGTTTGGGGCTCCAGGTTTTGACCCACAGCCAGGTGTTAGGGGATGATCCTGCAAGGTTGGGTCTGTCCGAACTTACCAGTAACAGTCGGTAAACAAGAACATCACAATTTTTGAACAAGGCCTGCAACCTAGCCATCATCATCCACGGTTACTTCTAGTAGGATGGACCCAAATCCAAGGTTGATCAATTTCTTTTTGATTCTTTCGTGGTTCAGAGGCTTGGGTGGTGCTTTCTTGCTGGTGGCAATGCAAGCCATCTTATAGATGGTCAACTGTCAGCAAGCACTGTTGCGTCTTTGAGTGTGTATGATCAAGGGGTCGAGGAGTAACGGTGGAATATTGTTGACTCCGGATTGTTTTTGTCCGGCTCACGTTTGAAGACATTTTTTTGTTGTCAATGCTTGGCATTGTTTTTTCCACCTGGGGTTTGACTGACCATGGCTCAAGCCTACACCTCTCGATTCTGAAGGCGCAGCAATGCAGGTGACGGCTGTGTCTGGCAACACGATTGCTCGGCTTGATAAGGATGAGCTGCATTACATGGTGGAAAGTGGGCAATCTGTTCGAGACCTCAAGCGACGTCTTTCAGCTCAGGTTGGGTGCTCAAGGTTTCAGCAAAGACTCTTCAGTGACGAAATGGGCGAATTGGAGGATGACTTGCCTCTACGAACGCTATCAAGTGTCCAGCTGGTAATTCTGCCCTTGTGTGCCCCTGATGAGACCATGGACGAAGAACTGCTCACAAGCTGCAAGCAGAATAATGTGGCTCACATCGAAAACCTACTTCAAAAGCCACTGGACCCGAACGGGAAAGGTTTGAGTTTGGTTCGTGCTGCCCGGGAAGGCCTCTGGGAAGTTGTGCGATTGTTGCTCGATGCTGGAGTTGACAAAGATGCAGCAGGTACAGATGGCTGGACGGCTTTGCACATTGCAGCCCAGAAATGCCACTTGGAAGTTGTGCCATGGTTGCTCGAGGCTGGAGCTGACAAAGATGCAGCATCGGCAAATGGATCAACGGCTTTGCAATTTGCAGCCCGGGAAGGCCACTTAGAA